GCACCCGGATATAAGTCATGTGCTCTTTACTAAAACAACAACTAAAGTAAGCAGTAAATTCCCTATTTTTAAAGGATTAAATATTCAGGAGTCCCTTTCCCACGAAAAGCTTTTCCTCACTGACAGTTATGATATTTCTACTCCCTTGATTTCATTTAACTCTGCTAAATACCAGTAATGTTAGCTTATTTCCCTTTTCTCCTCCCGAGTTACATGTAAAAATATGTTCCTGTGGATATGGCTTCAATATCACAAACCAGAATGCCAAAGAATCTATCAAAATCTTAACATACTGATATGACAAAGGCACCAACCGGCTCTAGGGTTTGTAATTTAAATCAGAAATCTCCACCTTCAACAAAAAGACATATATGCAGAATAAAGACTGAAACATTACCTGGAATGTATTTTACTTTACAGTGATATTGCCAGACATTATTATGTAATTTACACTCATCTCAATGAATTTTCACAGTTGTATGTACTAAGTACTACATTTTACAGATGAGGTTTTAAAAGGAGGTTTAGAGAGATTAAGTACCTTGCCCAAGGTTACAGTTACTAGATAACTGTAATCCAGGCCAGGATTCAAATCAACCCTTTTCTCTAGAATTCTTCCTCAAGCCACTGCTTCTTCCTTTATTAACTCCAACTAATATTTGTAAATTCTTCAGTTCCTAAATGGTGGAGGCAGATCTGGATGATCTCAAAAGCAGAAGCATAGGATACACTGAGTCATTCCCAAGTTTTTTGGTCTTGAGACTTCCTTACAGTCTTAAAATTATTGAGGACCTTAAAGAGTTATTTATGTGGATTACACCTTTTGATATTTACCATACATACGAGACATTAAAACAAAAAAAGTTAAGTACTTATCAATACAATTAACAACAAACCATCAGGTTAACATAAGATTTTCAATTAAAAGTTACTATTTTCGGGGTGCCTGGGTGGCTCAGTCGTTAAGCGTCTATCTTCGGCTCAGGTCATGATCCCAGAGTCCTGGGATCGAGCCCCGCATCCGGCTCCCTGCTCGGCGGGGAGTCTGCTTCTCCCTCTCCCTCTGCCTGCCACTCTGCCTACTTGTGCTCTCTCTCTCTCTGTCAAATAAATAAATAAAATCTTAAAAAAAAAAGTTAACTATTTTCCCCAAAATAATCAGAGAATAACATTGTTTTACATTTTTGTCAATCTTTAAGGTCTAGCTTAATAGAAGGCAGTGGGATTCTCATAGCTGCTTAATGCACCCCGCCTGTTGCTGTATGTTGCTTTGGTTAAGTATATAGACTATCTGGCCTCACAGATAGCAGGAAAAGGGAAAAATATTCTAAAAACCTTTTCAGGTAGCTGCCTATATTGACACAATACTAAAACCCAACAAATAGTAGTTTCTTAAAGAATAGTTGCATCTTGGAATCTGAATCCCTATCAATGAACTTTTCCTACTTCGTTACATTAAAATCCACTGGTGTAGGAACACCTGGGTGGCTCAGTTGGTTAAGCATCTGCCTTCGGCTCAGGTAGTGATCCCAGAGTCCTGGGATCGAGTCCCCTCATGGGCTCCTTGCTCAATGGGGAGCCTGCCTCTCCCTCTGCCTGCCACTCCCCCTCTGACAAATAAAATCCTTTTTTTTTTTTTAAAGATTTTATTTATTTGACAGAGAGAGACAGAGCGAGAGAAGGAACACAAGCAAGGGGAGTGGGAGAGGGAGAAGCAGACTTCTGGCTGAGCAGGGAGCCCCATGCAGGGCTCGATCCCGGGACCCTGAGATCATGACCTGAGCCGGAAAGCAAACGCTTAACTACTGAGCCACCCAGGCGCCCCAATAAATAAAATCTTTAAAAAGTAAAATAAAATAAAATCCACTGGTGTACCTTGCATTCTGAAAGGATCATTAACATGATGATTTTGAAACATCATGTAATGGTCACTTGGAAAATACAGATTTACTGAGATGCCCATCCTCCAAATGTTGACATATTTCATTATAAATACAATATAAAAAAGATTTAAAAATCACAGTCATTAACACTGATGTTTTGAGAAAAGGCTTAAAAGGACTGCGAAGCTGTCAAACCTGAGATGTCAACTTTTAACAAATTCTAATTTTCACTCAAATTTTTATCATTAGTAACAAACACTATCAATTGCTTTCCTCAAAATGACAGGCTCACCTCACTGTCAAGAAAATATGTGCCAAACATTAAAGTGTGAAAAACTGTAGTTTGTCAGTCGTTCTTCCAAGTAAAAATGCTGTTCCATGAAACAAGCAGCTCATGGGGCGCCTGGGTGGCTCAGTCAGTATGTAACTGCCTTCAGCTCAGGTCATGATCCCAAGGTCCTAGGACTGAGCCTCACATCGGGCTCCCTGCCAAGTGGGTAGCCTGCTCCTCCCTCTCCCCCCTGCTTGTGTTCCCTCTCTCACTGTGTCTCTGTCAAATAAATAAAATCTAAAAAAAAAAAAAAGAAACAAGCAGCTCATAACTCAATCTCACAAGTGCTTTTCATTATAAGAAGGATCATACCTCCTTAGGCAGCAAAAGTGCTTTATGCATCCTTCCCATTCGGTCAGATTCTTAAAAATTAAAAAACAAAACAAACAAAAAAACTCCATCTACTCAAGGGTTGAGCTTTAGTAAAAATCACTTTTACTGCTTCATCAAGGACATTCTCACATGGTGTTTCAGGCAACTGCCTTGCTTTGTGCTAAAGCACCACCAGTATTATTACCCAGCTTTGCTTTTGGACCATTGATGCAAATATCACTGGAAAAAAGATAAATAGCATCTTAACATTTTCTTTCTTTTTTTTTTTTTTTTGAGACAGAGAGAACGAGAGAGAGAGAGTACATGAGAGGGGGGAGGGTCAGAGGGAGAAGCAGGCTCCCTGCCGAGCAGGGAGCCCGATGCGGGACTCGATCCAGGGACTCCAGGATCATGACCTGAGCCGAAGGCAGTCGCTTAACCAACTGAGCCACCCAGGCGCCCCGCATCTTAACATTTTCTATTTTGAAAAGTTATGACCTCTCAGCTCCCCTGAAAGGGTTGAAGTGTCCCCAGAAGTCAGCGGGCCACATTTTAAGAACTGCTTTCAGGGCCGCCTGGGTCGCTCAGTTAAGCGTCTGCCTTCAGCTGAGGTCATGATCCCAGGGCGCTGGGATCGAACCCCAGCTTCCTGGTCAGTGCAGTCTGCTTCTCCCTCCCCGTCTGCCCCTCCACCCCCTGATCGTGCTCTCTCTCGCTCACTCTCTCAAATAAATAAAATCTTAAAAAAGAAAAAAAAAAAAACTGCTTTCCTAGATTATACCACTGGTTCAAGGTGGGGGTGGAAACGAACAAAATCCTGTTCAACCCAAGAGTCTCCAATCTGTTAGTTCCTTTAGTTTGAGATACACCAACAGGGCTGTTACAACCCTAAGAAGGGGACGGCAATCAAGGACATAAATTGCCATTTAATTGTTATAAGATGATATATTGAGCACTTTTACACTAAACCAGTTAATTCTCAATGTGGTTACCTCAGCCGGACTGCGGGTTAAAAATGTCGAGAAGATGGCACTCCCTATCCCACCCAAAGAGACTTGGGAATGAGGGCCCCAGAACAGCTCTTTCCGCAATCTCCAAGGTACTTTTTATGTATCCCGAAGTTACAGATTGTGGGAACTAGTTCGAATTCACAGTCCAACTTCCAGTCCCAGTCCCAGTTTGCAGTTCCAGGGTCTAGAAATTCAACGTCGTTCATCAGGAAGCAACCCTCCCCGCCCCCGCCATTTCCCCTCCCTCTAGATGGGAAAATCTTCTTTGAAAGTAACACTCCGTTTCTCTGGGGTTTTGAGCTGCGGTGGAAGTGTCTAAAAGAGTGTAGAAGGCTAGGCTACAATCTGCAACAGGAAAGCAGTTGTTCTGAGGTGGTACAACTGTTTCCCAATTTCCGTCTGGAAAACGAGATTGGGCTAATTGACTTCCAAGACTCTCCTCAGCTCTACCTTTTTCTGAGCTGAGAACGTCCAAGAAAAGTGAGCAGAAATATGTCCAGTCATTAACAGTCTGGGGGAATCCCGCGTCTGACGGGAGAGGAAATCAGGGCAACTCGCAGAAAGGAGGAAAAGCAGGTGGATCAACGACATCACTCCTTTCCAGTAGGTGCCGAGAATCTAGAAAAAATAGTCCCTAGGATAAACATGGCGCCCACCGCGGCAGGATATAATCATCAGAAAATAAAGGTTTTCCGCCCCATCCCATCTTATAAATCACGGCGCCAACCCAAAGAAATTTTAGGGCCAAGGGAGGAGACTTTGTAAACTAACTGTAGTGCACTAAGGCTTAGAATGTACTATTGGACCAAGCACAGATTACATAACACAACGGAGCGGCACAGCAATCACTCATTTTCCTCCTCGCGCTCAAAAAGAGCGCCCCACTCCTTCGCCGGCGGGGGCGCGGCGGGAGAACCGAGCGCTACCCCCCCC